TGATTTGGGTATTATAATAATTCTGGCCTCATAGAATGAGTTAGGAAGTAGTCCTTCTGCTTCTATTTTCTAGGAGAGATTATAGAGAATTAGTTTAATTTCTTAAATGTTTGGTAGAATTCACTAGTGAACCCATCTCAGGCAGGTGCTTTCTGTTTTAGAACGTTATTACTTACTGATTCAATTTCTTCAATAGATTTAGACCTATTCGAATTGTCTATTATATGATCTTTTAATAAGTCTAATATATTCATTCTACATTTCTTACTAAGGCCTTTCAGTGTCTTCATAATTACCTTCTAAATTTGGCATATGCCTTTTAGTCCATTGTCATCTCTTATCACTCTCACTCTCTGCATCTCTTACTACTTACATTTCCCCCAAAATATCAAGGTTTGTCATCCTCCTATGTATTTACAAAGGCTTTTCTGTATTCCTATAGCATCCTTTTCTAACTAGTATTTATCCTACTAAACTCAGCTCTCTGCAGAAGCCTTTCCTGATGTCTCCAGGTAGTTTAGCTGACAGATTCAACTTGTACATAAAAACAAAAATTATTTTTTAATATTACAAAGAAAAAATCCAAACTTTTAAATAGTTATTTAAAATTTTCAATGTAATTCAATATGTACAATGAAATAAAATATAAAATACTGATGTTGTGGACTATCCCCTTTATAAATTCAATAGCTAAAACAGACACATTCTGACACAGCATGTCAACAATGATACAAATACTGAGCAAGTAAGTATCATTTCAAGATAAAGGTTAAGTATATATCAAGGTTGAAGACAAACTTGAGTACTCACTTGTGCTTAGTTTTAGATGTGTCGCTTCTAAGGAATGTATTATGAAATGTTTGTCTTTTTATTTCTTTTTCTTTTTTCTGAATGATTAAGAACTTAAACCTTGGAGTCATAAAGACTTGGAGCAAACACCACTCATAATCTGTGAGATCTTGGGCAAACGATTAGTTTCCTCATGGGATAAAAATAAATAGTTATTGGTGGTGATGGTAAATGATGGAAATGATATTACTTGAATCATTAAAAATAATGTCATTATATAGGCCTCTCTTTCCTTCCACATACAGTGTTGGAAAATATATTTTTTACCATGAATCCTAGTGCCCTACAAATAATAACCTATTGAATAGAGAACTCCTTCTCCAACATAGTTCCCCTTTATTCATTTGCCTAACTTTGACAAAATATAGAATATGGTGGACACTAGATGGAGCAACATTCCAAGGAGAGTAATCTTCCCTAACCAAGAACTTTCTTTTAATATTTGTTAAAAATAAATCATGTCTAGAAAAAGCATCACACATAATTTCAGGTTACCTGGATACATTTTTCAGGGAAGTATAAATGGCTTTGAATGTATCAGATATGAGAAAACAAGCAAGACAAAGATTTGGATACAACATAGTCATGTGATAGTATGGGCCGAACAAAATTCCTTTGTTAAAGTCCTAACCCCTAGTACCTCAAAATGTGACTGTATTTGGAGACAGGGCCTTTACAGAAGTAATTAAGTTAAAATGAGGTCATTAGGTGGGCCCTAATCAAATATGACTGGTGTCCTTATAAGATGATGAAATTTGGACACAGACACAGAGAGAGAAGACAATGTGAAGATACAGGAAGAAGATGGCCACTTACAAGTCAAGGAGAGAGGCCAGGAATAGATCCTTCTTCAGGACCCTTAGAAGAAACCAACTCTGCTGAACCTTGATCTTGGGCTTCTCACCTCCAGAACTGTAAGAAAAACAAACTTCTGTTGTTTAAGCCATCCGGTCTGTGGGAATTTGATATATACGCCCTAGCAAAAAGAATAATACATGTGAAAAGGAATACTAGAATGCTCCATGAGGGCAGGAATTTTTATCTTTTTTGTTCATTGATGTATCTCTAGGACCTAAAACAATGCCTGGCATATAATAGGTGTTCAATAAATATTTGCTGAGTCAACTAATAAATAAAGCAGATTAATAAAATTCTTCCCATAGACGACTCTATTAAATACCACCAATGTTTTAGTAATGCTTTTTTATTTTCATAACACCTGAGAACATGGACTCCCAGTACTCTTACCAAGTCCTGTGGTGTAATTTGTCTGCTGCCACAGCCCAAATCTATAAAATCCTCTGGTAAAACTCTTGTTATGATTCAATTCCTGGAGTAACTTCCTTATGAGAAGAACTAAGAAAACAAAAAAGCTGCTGTAATACAACAAATGTGAATTAGTCCACATAGAGAAACAGATCAAAGATATTAGTCCCATCCTGGGGAAAGTATCACAAATAGATGTAACTTGTTGGTATTGCTGTTCCCTCAAAAGTACCTGGTTAGCTGATTTCACAAAAGGCATTAAGAACAGCTTGGACTTATAATTTAAAAGGAAAAAATAAATAAGGGCATTCTTGTTGTTCTTATTAAAACATTTCTTGTGTGGACACAGGAAAAGACTAATTAAATTTCCTTCTGACATATTCAATTATGGATTCATGGTGCCTGTCTGTTTTCAAATCGATTTCCATGTTTTAATGTCATCACTATCACCATCAATCAATACTTCATTTGGTATCTTGAGTATGCTAGGAAAATAACAGCAAAATAAAACACAAAGGAAATATGGAATATATAAAGTACTCTGATTTTAATTTATATGCAAATATCCTTTAAATAACAGCTAAAGGGGAAAAAATCACCAAAATTATAATAGGCATGTTAGAGCTTATAAGTAATTCTCTCTCTTCAACTTATCTGTCTCTATTTCTAAAGCATAACATTTTCACAATCCATTCTAACTTCTAATCATTACTGGAAGAAAATTTAAAATTAAAAATTCCCCCCAACTGAGAGGATGATATGCTAATTTTTAGCTTTAAAGTATGTTTAATCAATGTATTCATACAGAATATACACCAGTTTCATGGGCAAGTGAAATTTAGCATTTTGAAATAAAAATCTGGAAACTCTCATCCATTCTGAAAGTAATTTAAAAATCAAGTCAAAGCTTGTTCTGTTTTGGGCCTGGAATCAGGTCCCAAACTAATGCAATCTGAAACCAGAGCCAACAAATGTTTACTAGTCTTTGTCCCAAAGGGAGAAGCCTCTTTTCTAATTCTCCAGAAGTGATGCTATTGGGCTTGCCTAGAGACTTGAGCAAAGGTAGCAATACAAACATGAAATTCATTTTGAAATATTTTTCCTTCCCAGCAAAAATGAAAGTTGAATACTTTTTCACACTGTGCAATTTGCAATCAAGCTCTCCTCTACTACATTTGCTTGTCTTTCCCGGGAACAACAGCATAAACAGGAAGTCCATGCCTCTGGGGCTTATCCATTGCAAAATGGAAAAAAAGAAGCTATAGGCTTCCTCAAGGATGACTTAGAAAAGAAAGGTCATTAGATTACTACCTTCCCCTCTTTATCTTATCCAGGAGGCTTATAAACCAAGTGAATGTACAAGCTGTACTCCACCCCCAAGAATATAAAGCTATTTGCCCATAAGTGACTGGAAGTCACCTTGAAAGCTCTGCTTCAGGCTTTTATCACATAGTAGAATCTGCATCCCAAAGCAAAGATGATCAGCCGCTCTCTTAACACCTGTCACAATTGTGTGTACTCTATTTTCGGTCCTGACAGCCACAGGGCTCAAGAGCTATAATCAGAAAGTCTACGCTTCCATATAACCCAACCACCAAAGTGTTAGGTATTATACAGCCAAATATCAAGCACATTAAAAAAAAAAAAAAAGTGCTCCTCACAAGGGAGACCTTTGTGGTGATGAAACAGCTCTGTATCTTGGTTGCCGAGGTAGTTATACAAATCTATGCATGTGATAAGATGGCATAGAACTATACACACACCTCAGGCTATGGTCAATTTCCTGGCTTTCCCGTAAACTCTTTGATGTAACTATTGGGGCAAAGCAGGTAGAGGATACACATGACCTCTCTGTACTGTCTTTGCAACTTCCTGTGAATCTGTATTTATTTCAAAATAAAATGTTTTTCAAAGTGCACCTTGTGATGTACATCAACATACTTTGAACACTCCGCATTAAGACAACTCACGGAGAATAAAACACAGACTGGTTTTCAAACGTGAGGTTCCAGCCACAACCCAACAGACAGCTTGAGGCTGAGAATGACCAGCATCTGCCTTCCGGCTGCCCGGGACAGATCCCCTCTGTGACCTGTCGCGCCGCCTGTCGCTTCTCGTCTTTCCGGTCACGTCTCAACCGCACCTCCTTACGGAGGCCTCCCCTGGTCCCCTAACTAAAGTAGATGCCATCTGCAATTCTCTCGGGACCTTGCTCCCTTCACCGCGTTCTTTGCCACTTGTAATGGTTTGGTTAGTTTAACAAACAAATTAACCTGTCTGTCCACTAGACTATAAACTCCATGAGGGCAGCGCCGGGTCTGTCCCTTGACCGCTGTGCTCAACAATGAGCACACTGCTGGGCAGAAGCATGTCGAATAAACGCACCTCACTCGAACTCCCTGGACTCTGGGGTGGTCGGGTCGGTTCCTTCCCCTCACACCATTGATCCTACAGACCGGGGGTGGCCTCAGAGCCCTCACTCAGGCCACTGGGTGCCCCTCCACTTCCTCCCTTCCACTCGGACCCACCAGCCCAGGGAAGGCGCCATTTTCTTCTCTCATCCGTCAGCTGTTTTATTACTCGCACTTTTTCCTCAGGCCATCCCGTCCGCCGCTTCCCCAGTCCCTTCAGCCCCTGCCCCTTGCCTTGTGACCACCGCCCCCCCTGGTTCCTTTCTTCCGGTGCCGCCCCTCGGCCAGGACCCTCGCCTTGAGGGGCGCCTCACCCCGCAGGCCGAGCTCCTCAGCCCTGGGACCCAAAAGAAAGCTCACACCCTCCGGTCGCGTTGGAAGGGTGGATGGGCGGGGATGGGGGCGTGTCCTCCTCGGAAGTGGGCGTGGATTGGCCCGGCCGTGGGGCGGGGGCGGGGCTGAAGCCTGAGCCTTAAGCCCCGGGTCATTCCTTCAGGCTCTGGCTCGGGCTTCGGCTTCGGCTTCGGCGATCGGGACTCCAAAGAGGTGACTCCGGCTCCCGCAGCATGTCTGAGAAGCGGCACGCGGCGGACACCCAAGCCCGACGGCTCCCTGACAGCTTCAAGGGTGAGCCCCGCGTCCGGGACGAGGCCCGTGGTGTTGCCTGTTGCCCCCTGCCCCTCCCTCTCCCTCTCCTCAGAGGCAAGCCCTAGCCCGGACGTCCAAGGCCGTCTTCGCTGTTTCTTGGCTGTGCGACCGCTGCTCAAGGCCGCGGTTTCCTCACTTGTACTCCGAGAATGACGAACCCTGCTTCGCTGGCTGGGGGTCAGGTTTAGGGGAGTTAGGGAGCAGAGTGAACGGTGCGCGCCCCGCACGCCGCGGGCGCGCCAACAGCAGGGCGCGTTTCCAGCGCGCAGAGCCATCGCCCGGGCTCGCGTTATCCAGCGGTTGCCAGACGCCAGGCCCTGTGCCAGAGCTTTCGGTTCATTATCTCCGGTAAGGCACCCAGGCGAGGAAATGCTGAAGTGACTTGCTGCGGGTGAGTGGTGGAGGCGGGGCTCGACCCCGCGCCGCACGCCAGCGACCCCGCGTCTTCGCGGTCTCCCGACTCCCCTTTCCTTCCCGCCCGCCCCCTCTGAGGCCTCTCCTCCGCC